AGCCAAGTCCTGATGAGGACACAACAGGGGGACGCTTCAGTTAGAGCAATTAGGATGGTCCAGGAAAATTAATTTTGGAGTCTGTGGCAGCTTCCTGCTGAAGAGGGGTCACAGTAAGGCGGGCACGCACCAAAAATGCAATCGAAAAGGCTGTGCCAAGCGCTGCTAGCTGCAAAACACAGAGACGGGGCTGGCTCTGCGCCCTCCGCTTCCCCCGGGCAAAAGCCTCGATTAATATGGAGCCAATTCCAAATGATGGACTCGGCTGCTGGAGCCTGCATCCCAAATGCAGGTGTTTGATGCCCAAACCCTGTCCTGTTGAGCTCACTTTTGCTCTGCCTTAGATCTGCTCAGGGCCCACCAAGGATTTAATTAAGTTGCAACACGCAGCATGGCACAATAAACAGCGAAGTTGCAATAGAGGATTTTTAGGTCTCTTCCTGCCACCTTTGGTCCTTTCAGTGCATGCAACTTTGCTCCATCAGCCTGGGACAAGTCACACAAGTCACCTGGGCTGGAGTCCAGCTTGTGGGAGCTTCATCCAACCTTCAGGAAGCAACACACAGTGCTTTGCCCCTCCTGCAAACCCTGCTAAGCCCTAGCAGACCTCGCAGCAACCACAGATCCACAGCACACGGCTTGTGAATAGGAGCCAGTGAGCAACCTGCAGCCTCTCAAACCTGGCTCTGCTAAAGCATCCTGCAGCACCAAGCTGAGCACCTGGTTTTCAAGGGGAAAAACTGCAAATTGGGACCCAGCCATCTCAACAATAAACAGAAATACATGCAGCTTAACCCCCAACCTGCACAGATACCCAYAGAGACCATGCAGCACTTCAGCACTACAGACAGGAACCAGCTCCTGCCCACAGGATCACAGGATGGTCGAGATGGGAAGAGACCTCAGGGATCACCTCGTCCAGCTCAAGCAGGGTCCTCTGGGCACAGATTTGCAAGAACCACCCCAAAAGCAGAGAGAAAAGTCACCCATTTACATGCACAACCCACCTCTGCATGCAGGCAAGGCCTGAGGACACAGCGGCTGGGCTCACACAGGACAGGGTTGCGTTGCACTGCATGCAGCCCCAAAACAGGGACACCAAAGGCTGCAGGAACCCCAGGAAGAGAAAAACTGGGCTGAAGGCAGCTGAGACTACTTATAAGCTGCCCTCAACCTCATCTGTGCAGCCCAGGTGGGGCTGCTTGTGATGAGCTCTCCTTGCTCTTGGGAAACTGCTTCCCCATGGGAATGAAGCTCCCACCCCAGCCGGGAAAGCTGGATGCCCAGGCTGCTCTGTGCCCCGTTAAACAGCCCTGGTTTAGCCCCACGCTGCCCATAACCAGGATTCTCCACCGGGCAGCTTCCCAACTCGGGAACAGCATCCACCCTTGGAGAGACAGAAGCGATCCTTGAATTAATTTAGATTCCCCGCTGCCTCGTTAGGCCAGCTGGACGCCACACGCTTCATCGTCGCCGCGCGGCACCCGCTCCCCGTGGGACACTTGGCACTTTATAAACCTGTCAAGGCCCCGGAGCCGGTGGCGAGGGCTCCGCAGCGTCCAGCATGGGTGGCTTTGTGAGAGAGGGGTGTTGGTTTGTGCTAAAGTTTCATTTAAGAGCAAACAAAAAGGAAAAAATACTAAAAAGAAATAATAATAAAAAAGAAAAAGTGTGATTTATTTTAAAGCGTCCAAGCTGCTGCAGACTGCAATGTTTTGAGATCATGTTTTTATCCTGGGAAATTTGAGATTGTCCCCAGAGTCATTTGCATTCACCCCCTCCCTCCCYCGGGCTGTTAAACAGCCTTTTTAAGGACTGAAGCATCAAGAACCTGCATCATTCTCTGAAAATCAGCGATTTCCACATGCACCTGACCAAGACGCTTTTAGTTCCCAAATATATTTTCAGCTCCCTCCTCCCAGCCCCTCCAACACYGAGCTGTTTTCCCGTGGTTTCCGTGGGGCTCGGGGCTTTCCTCGCGGCTGCGGCGCGGCCGGGCCCGCAGCTGGGGCCGCGGGGTCCCGCGGGAGCCGCCGCTCGCCGCCGCCCGGCGCCTTGTCGCTTCATTAAGCGCCAAATTGCTACATTAATTCTAACTGCCCTGCCGAGATGTAGCTGTCAGGAGTGATTTAGCCGCCTCCGGCCGCCCAGCTCCGCCGCGAAGGAGGAACCCGTCCGGGGGCGGCCGGAGAGCCCCGGGGGCGAATGGAGAACAAGCGCAGCCAGACCCTTGGAGCTGTGTTCGCTCCGCAGGACCCGAGGGGCCCTGGGGTCCCTCCTCCCACCGGAGCACCGTGTCCCCAGACCCTCAGCAGCAGCGGGTTCCCCGGCCCCAGGACCCCTGTGTTGGGCTCTGCCACCCACTTAGTGCCCCAGGGGACACATAAAGTGTTAAAGCTGCCGTGCTGCTACCAGGACTATTTAAACCCGGGAACTTTGTGCTTTCCCTTATCCAACTATTTCTCATCCCAAATTGCAGGTGCCGAGCGGGCTGCTCTCCTGCTGCTCCCCTGTGGCTCCGCTCCGATCCGGCTGCTCCCACGGATGGAGAGGATCCCCAGTCAGCCACGTGCTCTTAGCTTTATTTGTTTCTTTTCTTTCAAAACAATTCCCTTCTGAATGGGAAGAAAGCGTTTCTATTCCGGGACATTCCGGGCTCGGAAGGGCTGGGCTGAAGCGCAGTGCCCTGCGTTTCCCATGGGGATGCCCGGGCAGCTCGCTGCCCGTCCGACCTCGCCGGGAGCCTGGCGCCCTCGCAGAGCAAAGCACAAAGGAGAGGGGGAATTTGCACTTCCAGATTTCCTAAATTCAGGAATCCAACGGGAATTTGCAGAGTGAGCAGGGCAAGTGACAGGTATTTTTCTGCAAAGGAATATATGCAGAGAAAAAAAAATCTATAAAATACTTAGTAACTGCAATTTCTAGACAGTGTATTTTTTTTTTTAAATCATTATCCTAAAGTTATTTAATTTCTTTATTCCTGTTCTTATTTTCTCCTTGCCAGTCAGACTCTGCGGGGAAAGTGCTTGCATGCCCAAGCTGCAAAATGCACCGGTGCAGAGCAATGAGCCGGGTTTGGGGCGAGTGTTKCTAGATCGCAGCGCAAGGCAGCAGCAAGGGGAGCACTGAACCCTGAGCTGGCCCCGCATTTCACCACCGAGAACTGCCTGCTTCCCCGCACGGAGGCTCTCCTGGCCCTGCTGCAGCCCTTTGCCCCGCGCTCCCGAGCGGCTCCGAGCAGYGACTCTGGCAGCCCCAAGGCTGCACTCAGGCTGTGCTCGCACCCGTTTGGCTTTTAGACTTAATCCTATATCACAGGAGCAGCTATACCTGCAGAGCGCTAAACTCAAGGTAACAGGAAGCAGGGGAAGCCGGGAAGATGCGTAGGCAGCTTTGGCATTTAAGGAGGAATAGGAGAATCATCCCCCCACACTCACCAATATAATGTATTTATATTATATTTGTATACACATATATATCTGTCTGCSATCCGATTCTTAGCCTGGAGACTTCAATAAACAGTGTTTGATGCTGCTTGGAGGAGCATGAGYAGGGATATTTGTATATGAAAATGGGACACTTGTGTCAGACCAAGCTTAATTCCCTGCCGTATTTTCCTGATTTCTGTTGAACTGTTTCACATCCAATTTCTCGATCTCCACGTACCCACTATCCAGTATGAAACCAGCCCGTATCAGAATGCACTATTTTAGGTTGCTTGGTCACCACAAATTTCTCCCACAGGTATTTCCACCTTTGCAATGGATGCTGAAAAAATAATCGCGACCCGTCAGGAAGAGCCCATCTGGGAGCGGGGCTGGTTATCAAAGCGACAGGGCTGCGCCTGGGTTTAAAGGCCCTGGTGAATTGTGGCCTCTGGTTTTTGAGGGCTCCTGCTTTGACCTTCCCGGGCTGTATTTCCCTACACCCGTGCTTTYGGTGCGGATTTAGCAAAAGACTATTTAAAGTTGAGCTGACAAATTTATTGGTAGTCGTGACGTATTTGATCATCAGAGAGAAAGCGAGAATATAAATAAAAGACACGGGACATTCACAGGACCTACAGTTAATTCAATAGTCTGTACAGGTAACACTATACACATCGCCTTGCCGTTGCCCGCAGTCAGCTCCCCGCAAAGGCCTCGTGTGGAGACGGGGCAGCCAAAGGGCTGCCTGAAACTGCCCCAAACCACCTGCTGAGAGACCTTGCGAGAGGGTATTTGGCACCGAGACATCGGGGCGGCTCTGAGGCGCTTTGCAGTAAAGCTGGAGCAAAGGAATYGTTAAAGAAGAGCATAAGTTGCACAACCCAGAACCCCTTTTGTCCCCGGGTCGGGAAAAGCACCCCTTGAGCCTGGGAGGAAAGGGTGGTTACTTGGTAGCAAATACATCTATTCACCGCTTAACGCTCGTATGGAAGGGTAAAACTAGCCACCTACAAATTAAAAGGTGAGGAGCAGAATTAACGTCATCGCCACTGTACAAAGGAAAAGGGTTGTTGATAAACAATTGGCATATTAAAGAGATTCCACCTTAGAAAACTTAATGTAAATTCAAAATTAAACAAAACATACCGCRTCGCTGCGCTTTTAAAAAACCTGCTGGAAGAACAGAGAAGTTTTCTATCATGGGTTTCTGAAGTGATTCGCTATTAACATTTCTCCGCTAGAAATATAGACATTGCCACACCTTTGACTGTGGATGAGGGCTTTATTTTTCTCTTAAAAAGGTGTCGGTGTGGATATGTGATGAAGCAAGTCCTGGCTTTGAAGAACGCACTGACACCAGAAAGCAAAACACCTTATATCAAATAGGTAAAGCGCGAGCCCTGGTGCTGAGCCGCAGCTGGGATGCTCCTTTGGCCGGCGGCTGCTCCGCGGTCCCTGCGCGCGCTCCGTGCCCGCTCGCTCCGCAGCTGCAGCCCGGCCGCCCCCCCTTCCCAAAGCACATGATGCTGCACGGCACCGTGTCCTCTCCGTGGGCCGTGCCCCGTGCCGGAGCCTCCATCAAAACTGAGCGTGGTCAACTTCGTCTAGCCACGAGGCCGGGCTGGCCGGGAAATCCGGGTARCCGCCGCTGCTGCCGGTGGAGAGGTCGGAGCTGGGTCCGTTCCCGGGCAGCACGCGCATGCCCGCGGGCACCCCCTGTCCGCCCTGGCCCAGGAGGCCCAGGCCGCTCTCGGGGTAAACGAGGCTGGAGATGAGGGGCTGGTGGCCGGGCAGAGGCTGCAAGGAGGCCGGCGAGGGCGGGATGCCGAAGGGGCTGCTGGAGCGCAGGTCGTGGTACTGCTCCGGAGCGGGGAGGCCGCTGGCGTCCAGCGCGAAGCTGCCGTTGCTGCCGGCCGCCCTGCCCAGCGCCGGCGACGCTTCGCTCAGGTTGCTGTAAATCCCGTTGGAATGGCTCATGTCCGGCATGGATGGCTCGTCTGCAAGGGAAGGAGAAGGGGGTTAGCGGCAGAGCCAAGTGCCCGGCGGCAGCGGCGGCTCCCAGCCTGGATCCGCTGGACATGGACATGGATCCGCTGGACAGATGGGAGCCGAGCAGCCACTCGCCGCCTGTAACTCCTGCTTCTATCCTTCCTGTTCTTGTTAACAGATCTTCCCAGAAAGTCATGGGATTATTATTTTTTAATGACTGGTAATGCCTAATTAATTTGAGATTTTTAAAAACATGCATGAAAAGTAGTATTAAAATATAAGAATGTGATTTAAAATGGAGCCTTTATTACGAATGGGGTTTAAATTCTCTCCATCTTTTCTCTGTATTTCTGTTTGGCCCTATATTTCTGGTTTTGGTGTCATTTTTTAGGAGCTACCTGAGTGCTCACAGATTCAAGAAGAACTTCCCCATTGCTTAGAAAAAAAGTATTAAATTTCAGCATATTTGGCTTCTCAGAAACACACAAAGGAAATATATTCATACAACTTAAAAACACTTACAAAAAAAAAATTTTTTAGTTCCCAGCAAGCAATTGTTTGCAATCATTGCAGGCTTTGCAGATGCGGAGAGTGATTCTGTTGCCAAGGACACAAATCTGTTTGGGGGATCAAGCTATCAATAATTGTTTAATATTTTTCGTTATTATTTATGGTATATTCATATTTAATGATGCTGATGCACAGAGTGTATAAACAGAGTTGGAAATCAAATTGTTTTTAAGAATACAGAAGAGAAGCTGAACTGCAAAGCTGTGGGTCTGTACACGTACATGCGCTTTGGACATATAGCTGTGTAAATATGTACACACTGTTTTGCATTTCAGGTTTTCTCTTGTGTACCTAAAAATGATGGAAACCCTGACCCGCGCACGGAGCTGGATGCTCCTGTCCCCGGGGAGCAGCTCGGATGAGCTGCAGGCTCCGACCTCCCCGTGTGGAGCCGCATCCCGTGCCCGCTGCAAGGACAGAGAGGAGAGGCTGAGGCTGCCGGGGCTGAGAGCCACCACAGGGGCTTCCCTGCGCTGATGCCCAGGCATCTCTGCTCCAAAAAACAGGAGCTCTCGTTAGAGAAACCTCCTAGCTTAAACCGATGTCTTTTACAGAGAGAACATTTTCCCACAGCACCGGGCAGAGCACCCTAACTCATAACTGCAAAAAAACCTATCCTTAAATCGGATGAAAAAAATTGGGTTTTTGTTGGTTTTTTTTTTTTTTTTTTTTTGTTTGTTTGTTTGTCTGTTTGTTTGGTTTTTTTTGCTATAGAAACAATCAGTTCTGTGGTTGTAGATTCTCTGGGGTTTGTAATTCTATGAGTTCCTTGAGAATAACTGTATGTGAGGCACTCACAGCATGTGCCCAGGTGATTCTTCCGGGACTCTCTCCCTGCTTCATCTTGGGCTCTTATTTCTCATTTGTTATGGCACATTTGGAAATTATTATAGTAGCACCAAAGGGGTGGAATTTGCCTAGGCAGAGAGCCGGGTGTTTGCACGGGGGCCGAACGCACCGCTCACATGCAGCACTGCCCCAGCTGGGGCCAGGGCTCTGCGCACTGACCTGTGAAGGAGACCTCGGCATCACTGTCAGGCCCTTCCTCCTGGATGCTGTCCTTGTCCGACTTGGAGGTCCCCCGGGACCGTTTCATGTTCCTGAAGTACTGACCCCACCGCTGCCTCCCGGCGTCTTTCTTCAGCCGCTTCTCCTTGGCCCTCCGGTTCTGGAACCAGACCTGCAGGCACAGCAGGGAGCTGCCTCTCCGTCCCTCGGGGCTATCACTTGTCACTGTCCCCTCCCAGCCCTGCACCCAGTGCAGCGCTGGGCTGCACCCCACGGGGACCCCTCTCACCTGCACCACCCGCATGTCCAGCCCTGTCTCGGAGGAGAGCTGCTCCCGCACGTGCCGCGCCGGCTTGGGCGAGTTGTTATAGGCGTTTTTGAGGGTCTCCAGCTGCTTGGCAGTGATGGTGGTGCGGGGTCGCTTTGCCGTGGACTCCGCCTCTGTCAACACAGTGCGAGTTAGCAGGGCAGGAGCTGCCTGTGAGCCAGCGTTCCCAGGGACGGGGGAGCTCCCTCTTCCCTCTCCAACAGTTGATGCTTCCCATATCCCTCCCTCCTGGACCAGGCTGCTGCATGAGCGGGTACTGGAGGGCAGGGGAATCACGAGCTCTCTCTCACCTCCCCCTTCAGCAGGGGACAGGGCAGGGGTACCTCTTTGCTTGGCCGTCTCGTAGTCCGCCTTGCAGACCAGCCTGCTGTCCTCCATGAGGTAGAACTCGTCGCCGGTGGCCAGCTGCCGCTTGCAGACGATGCAGGCGAAGCAGTGCAGGTGGTACACGAAGTCCTGGGCGCGCCGCACCACCTGGGTCGGGGGGATGCCCTGCTGGCAGGCGGCGCACTTGGTCCCAAAGCGCCTGGCGAGGACAAGCGGTGGCGGTGGCTGAGTGGGCGGCGGCGGCTCCCCCTCGCAGCACCCCCTCGACCCGCTCCCACTCCCGGCTCTGATTCCCGTGTCCTGGTCCCGATCCCGACCCCGGTCCCGGCTCCAGTCCCAGCGCTCTCCGTGGTGCTGAAGCGCCGCTGCCTCCGGCGCTGTCCGCGGTGCTGAAGCGGCCGCGGCCGGAGCTCTCCGTGGTGCTGAAGCGTCCCCGGCGCCGCTGCTGTCCGTGGTGCTGAGACCCCGCGGCCACCCGGCCAGCCACCCCCGGCCCCGCCGCCCCCGGCCCCGCCGCCCCCGGCCCCACGCACTTGAAGAAGTCCTCCTTGCAGTAGACGCCGTCCCCGCGGCTGAAGCACTTCTCGGCCAGCTGCGTCTGGCAGTCGGAGCATTTCAGGCACTTGCTGTGCCAATGCCGGTCCAAGACCTTGAGGATGAACCTGTCCACRATGTGCTGGTTGCAGCCGGCGCACAGCGGGATCTCTGCGGGGAGGCAGTTCCGCATCAGCACGTCGCCCCGACGGCCCCGTTCTCGGTGCCGCTACCTCCTCCACCGCCACCCAGTTCCTCCCTGGCCTCCCGTCGTTAATGCTGCCCGATGGAGGCTCAGGAGGAGCACAGAAACGGCACGAAAAAAATTCAAATTCGTTCCAATTCGTTGCTGCCGCTCGCTGCGAGCCGCCCGGCAGCGCCGCTCCCTGCACAGGGAGTCCCGCGGCAGCACGCGCCAAGCAGAGTCGCCCGGGGACCCCAGAGGGAATGGGAATGGCAAGGAAAATAACCTCTAACCCGAGTGCCTGCAAACTCGCAACACAGTTAATCCGGAATCGTTTTGATTTGTTTATTTTTCTTCTCCCATGCTTCCAAAACCTACATGCAAATAACAGCGGGGAAGCGCTGGCGGAGTCGGGGGAAAATGCTAGAATTAATGAGAATTGTACTGAGAATAAAAATCTGGCAAGCTTGTCCCGTCGCCCTACGGTTACCGATAGAGATAATATAGATATAGAAATAAATATAGGTATAAAAATAGACATGTGAAATGTAAAAAAAAAAAAAATTCCGAAACGTAAATATAAAAATATACAGATAAAGAGACATAGATATAAAATTGACGATATATAGCAATATATATAGACAAGAAAACATAAAGATAGAGATAAATAAATATACATATATATTTCGGTATAGATTTATAGAAATAGACGCAGCTATATAGATATCCATATAGAGAAATAACTATATAAAGACACGGATAGAGATGTACAACTGTAGACGAGGTGGAGGTAGAGACACTATCGGTTTAGGTATAATCGTTTGCTCAACAATTAACCACCGCCAAACAGACAACGGCAGCAGCGGCGACCTCGGCCCTGCACCGACCCGGCTGCCCTGGGAGAGCCGGGCTGGAAGGTGCCCCGACTGCCGCTCCGGCGACGGCCTCGGCACGGGAACAGGGCAAAGCCCGGGGACACGGAAAAACTCTGGGACACGGGAACACGGCAAAGCCCGGAGACACGGAAAAACTCTGGGACACTGAACACGGCAAATCCCGGGCACACGGAACTGCTCGAGGACACAGCGCGGAGGGTAGCAAGGCACGAAGGCTGCTCAGCCACCCCGCTCTCCGCGGCTCTGCATGGTGCCTCGCAGGCCGCGGCTGCGGGGCTTCAAGCGGGGCCCTGGGGCTGGCGCATGTTCCGCGGGTGCGGGCAGAGCTCCGCGCAGCCCCGCGCCCCTCTCCCGAGAGCCGCCATCGGGATGCGGAGCCGCGCCGGGATCCCTACTCCTGCCCCAGATSCCAGCAGCAACAACAACCCCCGGCGCTGCCCCCGCCAGCAGAACCGGGGATTTAATTCGCTCAGGCGGGATATTTTTAGMCCCCGGTCGTTGCCCGGTGTGGGCTGGAAGCGCCGAGCAGGGCATCGCGCTGTATATAATCCCCCCCGCCCGTCCTGGGGGCCCGTCCCCTCCCGCCGCCCCTTGGCGACCGGCGACAGTGGAAGACAACGAGCTCCGGGGTCCCCGGGAAACGAAAACCGGGCGGAGCAGCCGCGCAAAGGGGCCAGCGGCGGGCGGGGGGACGAGTGGCCCCCGGGACTGCACCGGGAGGGCCCCGGGACGGGCTGCGCTGACCGCTCCCGGGAACTCGTTTTCCGCGGCGCGCGGAGCCTCTCTCGGTGCCGGCGGAGGCCGGGCCGCCGCTCCCCGGGTCTGCGGGGCTCCCCACGGGAGCCGAATGCCGCGGGCAAGGCGCGCTTCCCCGCGGCTCCCTGCCCTGCTCGCTCGCTCGGGGCTGTTTCGCTTCCCCACGCTCCAAAACTCTCCTGATTTGTGGCGTCCAAAGCGCAATTGGCGGCAGCTGCCACCGCCGCGCTGGAAAGGCAAAACGGGCTGGAGACCCGACGGTGGCGGCTGCCCGGCCCCGGGGGYTCTCCGAGTCCGGCCCCGGCTCCTTCGCCGTAGGCTCCCGCTGCAGASAGGGTCGGGGAGCGCGGAGTGGTGAGGCTGGGACCGCGACCCTCCTGCTCGGCTTTTCCTTATATTGTTTTTAAGCCGTGGGCGAGTGTGGAACCCGACGGACAGCGACGTGATGGCCCAGGCAGCTCTGYCCCGCTGCGGCACCCGGGTCGGCCCCGCACAAGAACCAGTGGTCCCGAGGCGCGCAAAAGGCGCGAGGATCCAGCCAGTCCCGGCGGCACCGGCGTTTACACCGTTCGTTAAACGGGGAAGAAAAAATCGTTTCGGGAAGGAATCAAGGGGGGCTTTTCTTGGAGCGGAGGATGTTCGGCCAGGGTGGGAGCGAGAGGTGCGGGGGTGGCCGCCGTCGTGGGGGAAGTGGCAGCTCGGAGCTCCGCGTTTCGTTCTCGCCCTCGTTGTACGGGGAGCAACGGGCGGAGAGCCCGAGCTCAAGCCCGACGGGACGGGAGGGACCGAAACGGGAGCAGGGCCGGAGGCGCCGCGAGGTTTGTCGCTTATTTCGGGGAAGGGGCAGGGTGGAGAGYGGAGAGGATGGGGAGAGCCGTCGGGTCGCCCGCTTGCCGCCACCCCAGGTATCTCGGSGAGCCCGTCGGGGCCAGGGGAGCCGCCAGCGGTGTCTCCGCGGGGGGAACCCGGTGACTCACGTCCCTCCCGCCGCTCACCTGGGCTCCGCGGGAAGGGGCAGAGCTCGGCGGCCTTCTCGGAGCCGGCGCGGACCCGCTCGAGCAGCATCGCGGCGCCGTCCGAGGTGCGCGCCGGGCTGCGCGGAGTGGCGGCGCGGAGCGCGGGGCAGCGCAGGGCAGCGCGGCGGGGGTGGCCGCCGCCCGGGGCGGAGCGGGGCCGGCGCGGGGGGGCGGAGCGGGCGGGGGGCGGCCCCGCTCCTTAGCATCACAAAGACGGCGGCCGGGGACGGGGGGGTGTCCCGTGGGTGCGCAGAGTGGGGCTCGACCCCCCCGCGCCGGTAACGAGCAGCCCTGCGGGCCGGGTGAGGGGCGGGCCTGCATGTGCAGCAGGTGTGGGGCCAGGGCTGTGTGTATGTGTGTGTGCACACGTGTGTGTGAACATGTGTGTAAACCTGTGTGTGTGCACGTGTGCGTTCCCTCGTGTGTGTGTGCACATGCATGTGTGCGTGCACGTGTGTGTGTGTGCATGTGTGCATTCCCTTGTGTGTGTGCACATGCACGTGTGCACATGCACAGGTGTGTGCATGTACATGTATGTGCACATGTGGATATGTGTACATGTCAGGGGCAGTTTGCACATATGGGGGTGTGTGTACATGTGGGTGTGCACACATGGCGTGTGCACGCGTGCATGGGCCACGCATGTGCCCACTTGCAGCTCTGTGGGGTCTGTGCGTGCGCGTGGGCAGGTATGGGGGCACATGAACATGTGCGTGTACCCCTGTGCGTGTGCTCAGCTCCGGCGAGGTGGGTACCGCCCGGGCCGTGTCTTTCCGTGGGTGCACGCAGGGCTGCGGGGTTCTGCGTGTTCGCGCCCACCCTGGGACCTTKGTGGCCTCGTGTCCGCGTTTGGGGTGTTCGTTGGCTGCTCACACACATGTGCGTGCGGAGGTGCCCACGGTGCGTGTCAGTGCCCCGCGTGTGCGCCCCGCGCAGCCGCGCCACGTAATTGTGGTTGTTACTGCGAGCCCCTTAATCCCCCGAATCCCTTTAGCTCCTGCTCGCGGGGATTACAAATTAATAAAAGCAGCTTAGGGGCGGGAGCCTCCCAGCACACATATGTTCCCGGCGGGCAGCAGCGCGGGGACTTTCGCCCGTCCCTGGGGGTGGCCCAGGGGGGTGACCGGGGCAGTGGCCCCAGCCCGAGCCCCCCAGGCCGGTGGCACCTGTGGCCACCCCACGGCCCTCCCGAGCCCCCCWCTGCCCTGTCCCGTCGCGGCGCACAGAGCCACCCCTGTCCCTGCAGGCCCGTCCCCTCGCACGGTGCCGCCGGCCTGGGCGACACGGCAGAGCCGCAGGGCCGGAGAACAAGGCAGGAATGGGGGCGTTGGGGCCGGCCCCAGCACCGGGGGGACCCCAGGGAGCACCTAGAACTCCCTGGTGCCGCCGGTGTCCCCGAGCGCATCCAGGTAGCGGCAACAGGAGCATCCCCGGTGGCAGCCCCCCGCGGGCAGGTGACGGGCGGCGGGCTCTGCTGAGCTCCGTCTGTGAGGGGATTGTCTCCGTCTGATCCTCCACGGAAGCGGCTCGGGCAGCCCTGGGGGCTCCCCGCTCTCCTAGGGAGCCGCAGGCCCCGTCCCCGACCCCCCGTGTCCTCAGGTGCTACCTGAAATCACCTGCGTGSTCTGAAAGGGACCGGTGCACAGGCCCCCTGGCCACACAGCTCAGCTAAAAAGATCTGTGATGCCTAAAAATAGCMATAATAAAAATCCAAAAGCACCATTTTGCCCAAATGTTTGCACTTTATTTTTAACAAGCACAGTAGCTTACAGTTTAGTACAAAATGGTCACTTGTCCTTCCTGAAGAGAGGTATGAGACTGAGTAAAAACAAAACAAAAAACCCCAAAGTCACGACAATGTCAAATTATCGAATTAAAATAAATAAAACACTTAAATTATTGAACCGTTATATCCACTCTTTCAAACACCTCATATGCAATACAGAGACCTAGAAAATACAGTTTGGACCTTTTCTACAATGGTTGTAGACCATTACCATCCATTACTGAACCAGAAGAGCAGGACGTATACACACACTGTTTGGAGTTAAAAATGGTAATTTCAGAGAATAATTTCATGTGGTCTCTTTAGCACTTGCAGCTCTTCTTCCTCTGACCTCGCATATGCCACTGTACTTTTATTTTCTCTGCAGGTTTAGTATTTCCTCCTTATATAGCAAAGTCTCCATAAATCACAAAGGGCCAGAAATCCCTCTGGAAAGTGACTCTCAGGAGTTTTTGTACGATGTCTAAGTGTTTATGAAAGCTTTTGTGATGTATCACAATACACAAATTAGAGTTAGGGGTCTGAAAAGATGGTGCTTTGAGGCATTTTGACAAAGGAAATACTTCCTTGCACCTCACCTACCTACGGTGCACCACGGAAAGCAGCAGCTCCCCTTCCAGGGTGGRCTTAACGCCGCCTTAGCAGCCGGAATACGCAAAAGGACAGAAACTGTCGTTACAAAGACACAAAATAAGACGGAATAAAGCAAGGTTTACCGGAGGCAAGGCAGGTCTGGCAGGCGTTCGGCACCGCTAGCAGAGGGGGTCAGTCCCACCACGGCCAAGAGGCCTTCTGCTTTCCTGCTTTAGCCCTCCCGGGGAACACGCTGGAATCACTGCTTGTCTCAATATCTGGTCATTTTGCACACATTTAYCACAGGGTCAAGGCAACATAAAGTTAACACATGTCACAGAAAGGTAACATATCCCCAAACACATAAACGGCTGTTTTAATGTCAAAATAATTCCTACAGACTTGCAAAATCTTTACTTATTTCCCTATGCATCGCAATGTTACTGCTGGCGGGAAATCCAGCCCTACGTAAATCCAACTTTTTCCACCTTCGGTACCTATGTTGCCCTATGGATCTACTTAAGGGACACTAAACTTTGAGGTTTTGGCTCATTCTCCCCAGTTAAGTCACATAAAAGTAGCCCAGTTTGCCAACGTAAAATTGAAATCTCTGGGTTATCCTCTTAATTAACCTTCTCCTGGGATCTTTCCCTGGATTCTAGTACAAAATTCAGGGCACTCCAGAGCCAGTCCTGACTTGYCACCTGCTGTTTCACTCTTTCTATAGCTGCTTACAGGTAGTCTTAATATTGAAGATCCCACAAAGACAATGACCGRGAGTCTGATTTTTGACTCGAGTTTCTCAGTGAAGAAGATCCACTTATGAAGAATATCCTCACTGGGGTTTTGTGCTGATTTGTAGCCCATTTCTATTGCAGAGCTCCCAGCTTTTCATCCGAGGGCGGACGATGGCAATAAGAGAGCTCACACTAACCAYACAGTGAAGAATGATACGATGTAAGAACGAATTAGCCAGGGACTATTTACTCCTTCTCGCGTAACACAAGAGCTAGGGACCATTCAATTAAGAGTTACAAATGGAAAACTGAAAGGAAAAGCCTTTTTATATAACATAATTAATCTGTAGAACTCACTGCCACAAGAAAACATCGAGGCCAAAACCTATTAGGATTAACTACAGATTAGGTAATGGATAACTAGAACATGCTCAATTACAATGGATAGGATTATAAACTTCGCTATCCAGGATGTGAATTATCCCCCACAGCTCGGATCAAAGAGGAACTCCTGTTCTGARGGGTAATTCTGTAGCTGGTTCCATGTTTTATTCCAGTCACTGCCCACCTGGATCCCGGCGGATGGGTTAACACAACTGCTGGGTTCCCACGTCCTAGAATGAGGAGTTCCYGGACTTAAACTTCCCTTTTTGTCCCAAATGGTGTCGCACTCTCGGAGCAGGACAAGATCATGAGGCTGCTCTGTTTTTTAAAGGTACTTACAGGAAGTTTTGCAGCTGGCAGGTGATGTTCTCTGTGACTGGTAACAGCAGCACAAAGTTCCTGCACTGCCTCTCAAGTGACAGAAACKATTTCAGTGGAATGGATTTACACAGAGCCACAGGAAGCTCAGGGCATCCAGATCCGTGGGTTGGTTCCGGGGCACTCGTGCCACGGGAGTCCCATTTGCCTTCATTAAAAATTGTGCTTCCTTTCACAGGAGTCCACCAGAACTGGCTTCCCAAGACTGACATATCAATGATTACTTAATGACTCCTCTGCATCATAAATTAGCCAATCAAGGGGATTTGTCTAGTGCTCCATTAATGCATTCAATAGCAGAGCAGGAAAAACTCTGGGTCCAATTCCGTTCTTGCTTAGATCTGAACTCTATAAAATGATGGCAATATCAGCAAAACCAGAATCAGGCTTCTTACAGATACACTCACCGTCCCAGAGCTCTCATCCTAGCAGAGGCATTTACAGGTTTGGCTGGAACTCATAAGAGAATGGAAGACTTATCTGAACACTTAATACTTTTCACTTTAAATACGTAATGGGAATAGAGGTTTAGAATTGCTTAATCAAAACAGAGCTTGTTTCCTAAAAATCAAAGCTCTTGCTCCTCCAAAGGTAAGGTATCAGTATAACTTCAGTAATCCTGCAGGAAAATCAGCTCTGGATTTATATGTATATATATCAAAAAACTTAAAGTACAGAAAATATCRATTTTCTTTCCCATCCAGGCACAATTAATTGTATAATGTAGTGATATAGTGTTTACTTACAACGAGTAAAGGTTGTAGCYGGCAAGTCATGGAAAATCTTAACCAGAAAAGGCAATTCTTCCTTCTGTAGACATTTTAGGGTAGCACTATGTGCCTGTGGCAGTCAGAGATTAGCGCYCTTAACAGCAAGCTGTATAGGGAGCTGGAACAACGGTGAAATGAATTGGGAAGAAAGGGTTCTGAAACAAGCAATACTGTATATAAAATCCCTGATCATAAATATTAAAGCTGCACCTGGAACTGAACAGCCACGTACAAGGAAAGCTTTGCTTCTGATGTAAAATTCTATACAGATAAACGATAATACTTCACTTTCCACCGCTTGGATCTCATTCTGAAAAAAAAGTACATTATCATTAAAAACAAGGACGATGCTACATACAGTACAACACACAGACTCATGTCTATGTTTGAAAACCCAATCCCTAAGAATGACACAGACTGTTTGGTCTCTTTATGACCAGCTGACTCAACTGCACTTTTACCTCTATCTTTGACAGGGGCTTGGTTTGCTGTTAGCTTATCTAATACTTTAAATTTGGGATCTTGTACATTTTCTTGGTCCACGATCTTATTTTTGTCTTTCGTCTCCCCTGTATCTCCAAGTTCAACTTCATTGGAGTCAGTCTGGCCTTCAGTGTATTTATATAAAATATTTTCACTGTTGTAGTGATTCTTCATGAACTGTAGRACTTGGTCTTCATTCCAGCTGTGCAATCCTTTAATTTCTTCATGACACGCAGGGCAAAGGTCGGGAGTTGGCCACTGGACTTTGGGAAATTTTGGATCTTCACTCAAATCACCTAATTGRGAAGGCAAAAAGAAATAAACAAAACAACAACAACAACAACAAAAACAACAGAGAACTAAAAAAGGTGAACCATCAGTCTCTTCAAATAGTAAGTTTGGAAAAAAACCCAGCATAACAGTAGGTTTTGATTAATCTAAAGACAAATGATCTGAGTTTTTTGAGGTTTCCTTAGGGGAGCACTAATTATGTYCTGAAGTATTGCTTCCTCTTTCAAAATCCAAACACTAGATCATAATCACTCTCCTATTCTCCAAGGGAAGCTGCAGCATTCAACCTGCAGAACGAGAGCATACCACAACTGCCACGTTTTACAAGGGATTAAAACCACCACCACCAGGGCCTTTCAGGGTTAATTTGAGTTACGGTTCCAAACAAACTGCTCTTTTGCACTCAGTGCTCCTTAATCCCCAGGCTTGGTTTGCAATAAGCCATTTCAAGGCAAAAGACTTGCAGATAACTTCATGTTTCTATACTGTGAACTATTCCAGCCTTATTGCTTTTCTTTCCCCCTGACTTGTTTTATTACTAGAGCAAATTATTTTCAGCACTTTACCATTATCGTATTTAAGATGTATTGTCAGTTTGCATTTTAGCATTTGAATGTATAACGCTGTCTTGAGCTAGATCCAACTTTAATATTTCAATTGCTCATAGATGGGGCCACCTTTCTGACTTCACAACAAAGAGCTGTCCATTCCAGCATTAAACTTTGCACTAACAATACCGTAGAGCTCAGACGGTGATCACTAGAACAAAAATTTCTACCTTAAAATTTTACTTATTGGATTTTTATTAGTACATGAATCCTCAGAAGATTTCACAGATATATGTAGAYTGGCACCAAAAGTGAGCAACTGATTTTTAGCATCCTCTGGCTTTTTAAAGGCAGAAGAGCCTCCTTGGATATTCACAAGGCAGGCTGCAAGCTTCCCGTTGAGACGGGCTGCGTTCAAAAAGCAAAATGAAACCACTCTGTAATTGATTTGTTCTCTGCAGAGAAGGTAGAAACAAAATATCTTACGGGAAGATTACAAACAGAAAACGTAGAGTACTCCGTATTTTCCTGCCAAAAAGAATGCAGTAAATTTTGTACATTTTAAAGCTGTAGTAAAGAATCAAATCGAGGGGAGCCGTACACCGCGATCTCACGRCCAGTTCTTGAGGTTGTGCCAAGGTATTTTTGTTGAATGATGTCAAACGTTATTTCGTACTGAAAGCTACGTATTACCACAAACAGACACAGCTTTTTAATATAAAAATAAATCACTGTCACCAAAATAAAATTTAGCAAATTTAAAATGCATAATTTGACATTATTATTCACTCCAAGTTGTTTATATTTCCTACTAAATTGGTATTTTAGCCAGCTGTTGCATCACTGAAATCAATATCCATGTGAGTTTTCCAGTAACTTAATGTTCTAAATAAGTGTATTGCTCCACCACTTAGCAACTTCTAGTCAACAAGACTTTTTTTTTCAGTTTGTGTTCAGTCTGGCAATACTAACGAACATCAGGGGATGTTTTTATTTAATACCTCATCATTTACTTTTTTCTCCTCCTCGGAAAAAAAGAGACAAACTGTTTATATTCACAACAATATTTAAAGCTTCACAGATCTTGGGAATTCAGCTTAACCACAATATAAACACAATATAGCATATTTAAATTGTAACTAATGCTACATTACACAGATCCATAACAGCAGACAGGGATTAAGTGCAAAGAGAAACCAATTTTCTTTAGTGCTTTAGTTATTTGATATCCCCATAACAAAACGGATTAACTACAACCCAGTATTTTAACTGTATTTTCAGCCTAACTGAAAACATAGCAATCTAGAGGGGAAATAAAATTTCTTTGAAGAATAATTTTCTTCTATTCAGTTGTTGATCTGTTAACAGAGTCTAGGTTCTTTTTTTTTCCTGAAAAAGTCTCCTATTCAGTTATCTTCATTTTCTATACAACTTTTCCCCAGAATCAAATGAAGACAGTTACAACACCTGCTTAAATTGGTTCAGAAGAAAATGTAATTATTTTTATCCACTAGTAAGTAGCTGAACTGTATTGCTCCTTTTTGAAGAGCCTTTGATTTGCACTATGGAAAGATCATCTCAACAAGCCACAGGTGAAATGTCAAAAGAAACAATATCTTTGAGAACCATGAAGCTTTTTCATTATCTACATAATCAGATTAATTATGTTATTGAAGGATGGTTATGTCTGTAGTGTAAACTTCTCATTCATTCAAGAGTTATCTCTTGTTGGTATTTAAGGCTATAACTGAGGCTCTACATTTTGCTCTATATACAAATATTCTTAGGGATGTTAGCCTTGTCTATCAAGATAAAAATGGAATTAGTCTTGTAAAGTCAGCACTTAATACAGGAAAGAATAGTTACTGTTTTAAATGCACGTTATCGATTTTATGTAGCTATTTGTTAAAATTATATTGGATAAAATACCATAAGTCCTGTTTCCCAGTCACAGCTAGTTAGGCTTTCCAAAGCAAGGTTTTCCATACCTGCAAGTCTATTATTCACTACGTTGTGTTTCTCCCAGAGCCAGAGAACAGCCTTCTCTAAGGTCTTAACAGAATCCATGGATTCTTTAGCCATTTCTTCAAAGTGCTGAGCACAGGCCTTGCATCCAAAGAAGTGCTGAATGTATCTCTGCATGATCTGAAGGACTATTTGTGGCTTATCTTCAAGACCTAACAAGATAGAAGGGAGATACAATTAGCACCATTTAGACAAAAACAGCTTTAATGGACACAATTTAATGCAACTAAAAGGGAATCATGGAAAAAGGAAAGCAAATGCAGCTACTTTCTCATTGCATCCAAAGCTGTATCCGCACTTTAAATATAGGAAACCAGCTGCTTCCATAATTTAAAGATATCCATAGCACATGTGCTCTTGTACAGAACCTATACTTCAGTAAATCATAGAGAGATTAAAGAGATTAAAAGTTTCACACATTTGTTAGAAGAAACACTCCCTCCCAACAAAGCATATTTATAATACTGTCACCAAGTGGTTCAGGTGAGACATTATTTATTCATTGCCAAATAATTTTGTTTCTAATGCAGAGGTTAAAACGACCTCAAAGAGTGTGTTTCAAAACACACTGCTTTGAAAGATTGCCTGGGAATTATTTCAAACACCTTGAGGTTAAAAAAA